ACTACATTTCTTTTATGTCTATCATATCTCAATCAAATTGTTGGAAAATAAAATTTTTGTGTGACAACTCCAACATTTTTTACATTATCTGAGCTTTGGGAAACAATTTTTGTTTATGTTGAGATAGTCAATCAACTCAGACAACACGTATATTTGAAGTTTCTATGAGAATATTCAAGTGGCATTAACATCTATGACTCTTTTCCTGAAGTTTTCCCTGTATTTGAATCCCTAAATGCCATCCAACCACAAGTGCCAAACTGTTCAGCTGTCCCAGAGTAGTTTTCAACTATTAACTGAATGAAACTGGTGGATTACTCAGTTCCCTCAATCTTTCATAGTGATAAGTTTGAGCTGTGTGTTTTATGCCAGTTCCCAGAGTTCTCCAAATAATTAACCTTCATTTATCAATAGACTTAATCTTCTTGATAAAAGATTATTTTGACTACGTTTCGTTCCCTGGCTTACTTTCTCATTTTCTTTACAGAGCTTTCTTGGTTTATGTCTAAAATATATTGTCAAACAGGATTCTCTGAAGTTTCATTTGAGAGTAGCTCAAAATAAGACATACTGTTTTGAGATTAAAGATATGAGGTGGCCTAATAGAGGAAAAAAAAACCCAAAATTCAAGAAAAGGATAGGTGGAAAGAAAAAAAAGAGAGGGCAACAGGATCTCCAATTTAAAAAGCAACCAACAATAATAAAAGTCTTAAAAGATATTAAAATACATGTGATTAGGATATTCATAGAGATAGGTGAATGAATAAAATGTGCAACCCAAAAAAACAAAAAACAAAAACAAGCATACAGAAACAAAGTCCATTTAAATGCAGATCTACTGTAAGTTTAAAACGGAAATTTTTAGTAATTGACACAATTTTCAGTAATTGAACAGGATACAAGAAAATGAAGTTAGAAAGCAATGTGATAACTTTTCAGTGTGGTATATATAGAATGGTAGTTTCAGAGTAATAAAGAAATAACTAAAAAGTGATGTTTTTAAGAGATCAAAGATGAACATTTTGGGAAATTAAAAGGAAACATGAATACTAACATTTGAAATATTTTTATATACAAAGCTAGACATCAATTTGCATTCAAATGTATTTGGCAGATAGTGTATAAGGAAACAATCTGAAAAGTTCACAGCACCTTCAGGTGAAAGCCAAGACTGGGCTACAGCACCTGTCAGCACACGCAAGAGCCAGGACTAGGATCTCCTGTCAGGTTGCTGCTTCCACTGATGGGAATGAGAGTTGAAATGTGGACAGCACAGTGTGAGAAGGGCTGCAGCACCTCTCAGCCAGCATCTAGTCTAGAATCAAGAGTGGGCAAGGCTGCACCAGGCTGTAGCACCTATGGGCAAATGCCAGGACTGTGTGCAGGCCATCCCAAACTAGGTTACAACACGTGCTAGCACACACAAACCCAGAACTTGGAGTGGGCTTGGTAGGGGAATCTTAGGGACAGCCTTACCAGTCCTCTGCTTCCACTGTTGAGACAGAGAACCTATACTATGGCTAAACCAGGCCAGGAAGGGCTACAACATCCCTTAGCTTGCAGTTGGGTTGAGTCTGTGGGAGGACCAAGTTGTGCTTGGTTGCTGCAACTGCTGGCACATGTAAGAGCCAGAATAAGTTTGGAGCAGCCAGGGTTTACAGCAGTGTTTTCTGGAAAGTGGCTGGACTGTGTGCAAGTTATGTCAGACTGGACTGCTATTCCCCCTAGCAAGCACAAGTTCAGGGGCTGTAGGGAAACTGTGCCTCCTCCACCCTCCGCAATAGGTTTTAGCTGCTGTTGGTGAGCTTGAGAACCAGAACTGGGGGCAGGCCAGGCTAGTCAAGGCAGGAGGACTCATCAGCATGCATGTGGGCCAAGTCTGGAGTTGCATCAGGCTTAGCCAGGCCACAGCACCCATTGTTTGCACAAGAGCTGGATAGGAGGCAGGATGGACCAGAATATGCCACAGCACGTGATGCATGTGCAAACCAGGGCTGTGGGTTATTGGGGATCACCAGACTAGACCAGGCACTTGTTGGTATACATGAAGACCAATCCTGTCACAGACTGGGCTGGGCTGGGCTAGGCTTCAGCACCCATCAATTCATGTGAAAGATGGAGCTGGGAGTGACACTGACTAGATATCTGCATCCAGCATTTGCATTTTCTGATGCAGGTGGCAGACTGAACCTGACCCTGCGCTAGCTGGTTCATGCAAGAATCAAGTTCCTTGCAGGGCTCCCCAACTGGAGTGCTGAACTCAAACTCCAGTCACAGAGAAAATCACAATATATGTGGTGCATGTATTGGGACTGGGTCTCCTCAGCTGCTGATGCCTGCACAGTGGACAGTATGCTCAGATGCAACCCAGAAACATGACAGTCAGCTCATCTAGGCCAGCAGAGGACACTGAGTGCCTCGCCAAAGGATGGAAAGCACAGCTTGGACCATTCTTCTGGCCAAGCTTTGCAGCAAGTGTCTGAGCAAGTGTCTGGGTCTATGGATATACTAAGGTGGACTTTGTTAGACAATAGATCTTGGAAAGACTTTCTCAACCTTGATGCAATGAAGTCAACAATGCCTCAGACCTATCCATATCACTCAGGTAACCCCCTCAGAATATTCTTCTCCACATCAGGGTCTCTAAGGCATTGTCAAATGACTGTCCCCTACCCCTGGGTGTTGAGGTAGTTTCACAGCAAGGAGTGGCCTCCTCCCCTCTTCCCTATGGGCACAGAAAAAAAAATTGACATTCCTCTGAAAAATACATTGACATACATTTGTGAAGAGACCCCCAGAATACCAAGAGAATTCTGCAATTACTCTTACATGAAGGAAAGATCTTATAAGCAGTACAGTTGTGATTCAATTGGAAAATGTATACCCAATGAAAAAACATTAGATTCCAGGATTGCAGGGGCCAAGTAATGGCACTCAACCAGCAAAGAAAAGGTAGGCATAGAAACAGTGACCAAAAAATGCAATCAAAATTGTCTGCCTCCTTCCACCGTGTGGTGTTAAATTCCTAATCATGATGTTTTCTGAAGTGAAATAAGAATCCCACTAAATTCTTGCTTTTTCTCATTGGGACCAATGTAATGCACTAAGCTGAAAGAAATTGCTCCCAGCTTAGAGCATGTGCAGCTCACTGTAGTCCCTCAATTTCCACCTTTACCACACTATAAAAAATGGCTCCTCACATAGCAGTGCTGGAGCTTTGAGTCTGTTGGCTGTTAGGTCTGGAGTAGCCTGAATGTATTTTAGGCAATACCTATAGGATGCTAAATTGATATGATTTTCCCTATGGCATCAGATCAAAGCACTTAGCTGGAAATGAGTTGTTTCAAGCTTAGCACATGCCCAACCTACCAGTCCCACAGCCTTTGCCCCACTACAGAAAATGGAACCTGATATGGCACTGGCAGGAGTCTGGGCTGTGAAATTCACCTGTTCCTGCACCAACTGCTTGGAATCTACTGCTTTGTCTTGACTTGTGGACACATCAAACAAATCAGTAGGATTGTTAGAAGCAATTAACTTGCAGCCACTCATTGTCAGTTCTAAATGCCTTGGAGTATATTTAAAACTCCTGCTCTTGAACAGAAAATGTTGCATGACTTGGGGTGGAGATAGCTCATTAGTCATCCTCCCCTGTGCCCATCTTAAATCACTATGATAGCAATCAATTTTAAAGGAGTATGTGGAAGGTCCCAGTACAATATTCTAGTGGGTAAATCCTCACCTTGCAAGCACCAACACTGTGGGGAGCTGTAGGGAGCCTGCATCCTTCACCCTAGACGGACGGCGCCAGACTGCCGCTTCCTCCTGTGCTAGAAAAAACAAGCTACAGGAAGTCTGCTGTGATTGGCCCAGGGGTGCGTGGATGGCGCGTGGACAGCGCGTGATCTGTGTGATGATTGGCCTGCCCACTGCGTGCACAGGTGACCTTTACTTCGATTGGCCGGGTTACCCAGTATATAAGGGAGCCAGAGAACTGGGGCGGGGGGGGGGGGGGGAGAGAGAGAGCACCTCGGAGAGAGCGCACCCCGCGGACGGAGAGAGCGCACCTCGGAAAGAGAGAGCGCACGTCGGAGAGAGCGCACCCCGTGGACAGAGAGAGCGCACCCCACCGAGAGAGAGCGCACCTTGGGGAGAGAGCGCGCACCTCGGGGAGAGAGAGCGCACACCTCGCGATGGTGTGGCTGCTGCGAGGCTGCACGGCGGCTGCCGCACGCCCACCGCGCGCCGGTTTTGCTGTGTCTTCTCCACAATAAAGGCTCCGCAAAGACAACAAGTGTCCAGGTTTGACTTGCTGGCCAAGGGACCCTGACACAACACAATAGCTCATCTAGTTAATCCTCCATCTCCAAGTTCCAGCATCCCATATGGGCACCAGTTCATGTTCCAACTCTTCCACTTCAAATCCAACTCCCTGCTTGTGGCCTGGGAAACATGCCAATATTTTCCAGAGCTTTGGTACCTTTCACCCATGTGGGAGACCCGGAAGAAGCTCCTGACTCCTGGCTTCAGATCAGCTCAGCTCCAGCTGTGACAGCCACTTGGGGAGTGGATCAGCAGACTGAAGATCTTTCTCTCTGTCTCTCCTCTCTCTATAAATCTGACTTTCCAGTAAATATAAGTAAATATTTTTTTTTAAAAAAAGGGAATATATGAAAAATACAACCCTACTTAAATGCACAGTTTACTGCAAACCCAGAGCACAGGACCTTGCTGCATGGCAATATACATTTCTAATGCTGAAATTATGATGTTTCACAACACTAGCTTTCATCAGACCTCACTGTTGTCCAGTGATGGCCTTCCTACTAACAGTTTTAAAAGACCAAAGAAAGTAAATAAATAACTTTAAAAAAGGAAAGTCCAAGTAATCCTATTCAACTTTCAGAAGGATTTTGTGACACAAATTAGGGAAATTTACGAAGGATAATCACAGCAGAACAAGTGGGAGAAGTAAAACACAACTTTAACCAAAAATATACCTCCTTTTGAGATTGATCGCAGTCATATGGAGAAAAACTTGGTCGTAGGCTCTTATGGCGCCGAATGAGAATTTCCTTTGCCTGTTCTGCTGTTGCCATTTCCCCTGGAAGGGTGTACTTGTTATATGCTGGAGCCTGGTCAAAATGCATGAAATAAGGATTTCAGAATTAAACTATGAATAATTTGAACAAAAAAAATAAATTCAACCTATACATAAAAAATTTATATACTCTATTAGTGTATGAAGTATGTTAGCATTCTTAAGTGATTTCAAAAGTAAAGTTATTTTGAGTGTTACAGGTGTTTCTTGGGTCTATGAAATAAAGAGCATTCATATGTAGGTGACATGTGACAATAAGCACCTAAAACTGGTAGAAATATGCAGAATCAGAGATTTTGCATGCTATTTAAGCTAATTTGGTATAGGTTCAAAGAAGATTGTAGTGGATTGATTATGCTAATGGTAAACTCTCATTACTTACAGAATGCATTTTTTTTTTCGGAAAATGAGTGAAGTAGATTTGTGCACTGCCAAAAAGCAAAGAAGGTAGTAACAGAAAAAATGAGTAACAGGAAAGATAGATAAAAATATGACCCATTTATGATATATATATTTAGATCTGGAAATGGACATAATTAATTTGAAATAATTAATGCATCAAGAATATAAAAAAGTTACATATGTGTATCAATAAATAAAAGAGTCCCCAAATGCTTCATGCATGAAACAAACTGACAGAAGTGAAAGGAAGAAATGAGTCTTATGAAAGTTAGGGACTTCATCACCCCACTTGAACAACAAAAAAAAAAAAAATGAAAAATAGAACATCTGGACAGAAAAACAGTAAGAAAATGCAGGATTCACACCCTAACTATAAACCAATTGGATCTAACAGAATATTTCAAGCAATTCTTCTTGAATAAATACGGAATATTTTTTTCAGTATAGACTATGTTAGACACCAAAACAAGCATCAATAAATGTTATGGTTGATATGACACAAGACATATTTGCTGATCACAATGATCACAACAGAATGGAGGTAATAATCAATGACAAAAGTGAAACTGAGAAATTCACAAAATACTGAAATTGAACAATACACTTAAATAACAGATCACAAAAGAAATCAGGAAATTAGGAAGTATATCATAAAGAAATTAGAAAATAATTAGAGAAAACTGAAACAAAACATAAAAAACTCATACGGTATGTAATGAAAACAGTATTAACAGGAAAAGGCTGAGCTATAAGTTTCTACACCAAAAAAAGAAGGAAAAAATCATGTTTATGGATTGTTATTATTGTTAACAATACTGTTCAAAGCAATCTACAGCTTCCAGCTTGGGAAAGCAGAGGAGGATAACTCAAAAGCTTGGACCCCTGCACCCACTCAGTAGACCTGGTACAAGCTCCTGGCCCCTGGCTTAAAATGGGCTCAGCTCTGGCTATTGTCGCCATATGGGGATATCACCAGCAGTTGGGAGATCTTTCTCTCTCTCTCTCCCTCTCTCTCTCTCTCTCTCTCTGTAACTCTGCCTTTCAAATAAAGATAACGTATATTTGCAAATCATCTGACAAATTGTATAGAGAACACTATTAAAAAAAAACAGTAAGAAAACAATCCAATAAAATATGGGCTAGGGGTTGGTGCCATGGTATAACAGGCTAAGCCTTCACCTGTGGAGCCAGCATCCCATATGGATACCAATTCAAGTTGCAGCTGCTCCACTTCCTATCCAGCTCCCTGCTTATGATGTAGAAGAAGAGCTAAAAACTTGAACAAACACCTCATCAAAAAAATATATAAGGAGTAAATGTGTAATCAAAGTTACTAAACATTTTACTCATTAGAAAAATTAAAATTAAGCCACTAGTGAAATAGTGCTCAGCTATTTATATATATATAAGAGCAAAAATTTTAAAATACTGACTATATTAAGTATTGCAAAGGATACAGAATTTCTGGAACACTCACACACTGCTGGTGAAAATGCTGCCTACCAAATCACTTCAGAAAGCAATTTGGCTTTTTCTTTAAAATTTTAAGTATAAGCCTACCAATGATTCTGGTTTAAAACATTAATAAAGAGAAATAAATGCAATGATCATAACAAATTTATTTGTGATAGGCAAGAATGTAAATCAATTTAGATAACCATGAATATGTGAATGGGTAAGCAAATTGTGTTGTATTTATAAAATCAAATAATGTAATAAAGTAACAAACTATATTGCGATGACTATCAAAGTAATTATGCTTACTGCATAAAGCCAGGAAATAAGAGTATATAAAGTTATTTTGCTTACATAAAATTCTAGGAACTATAAATGACAAAAACAGATCATTTAGTTGGCTTTGGGTAATGAGGCTGGACAGCACCAGATTGAAGGGATTACAAAGGATAATAAGGGGACTTTTCTAGTAACAATAGAACTATTAACTGCAACTTAATAATTTTTATATGATTTTCTAGTCCTTAGTATAGATCCACTAATTATGTTCAATGCCAACAGTGTTTCTAATCATACGATAAATTCTTAAGAATTTTTCTTAAATGTTGTAAAAATGTAACACACAGCAAACTATGCATATTTAAAGTATATAACTTCACGAAGTTTGACGTGTGGAAATATTTCACTAACTACTTCACAGTCAAGATAATGAGTTTCTGGGACCATGTTAAAAACATACAGGGACCAATTTTCAAATTGGCATTCACTACCCAAAATCAGGGTTATTTGAGAATCAAACAATTAAAAACTGCAACACATCAAATATAAAATACAATTTTATCCATAAAAATATTTAAAACTCACTTGTCAGCTTTCAAGGTTCTTAATACACCAACTCATTCCTCTAAAATCCATAAATACAGTTTAAAAGCATATATTTTTCCTTTCCTTCAAGGAAGCAGCTTGAAGGTTACCAAATAATTGATGATACTAGTTCTTTATAAAATAATATCAGCTAGTAAATATGAAGGGACTAATCCAAGCAAAAGGTTACCTCTAAAGGACTTGGAACTACAGTCACCCAGGTTGATGGCAGAATGATGATGATTCTTGAACCCATTAATCAACTTTCAGAAATTATATTTTCTCACATTTAATATGATATATGAATTATACACTATATCAATTATATAATTTTATATACTATTAACATTAGATGATATTATATACAATAGCATTACAGTACTATAATTGTATTATAATGAATTCAAATTAAAACTCTGAATCTATTGATTTATAAAATTGAAAAATTTGGGGCAGATGCAATGTCTCAGCTGGCTAAACCTCCACCTCCAAGCATCTGCGTCCCAAATGGGCACTGATTCATGTCCCAGCTGCTTCACTTATAATCTAGCTCCCTGCTTATGGCCTGGGAAAGCAGTAGAGGCTGGCCCAGGTCCTTGGGACCTTGCACCCAGAAGAAGCTTCTGGATCCTGGCTTCAGACTGGTTCAGCTCCAGTCATTGCAACCATTTTGGGGATGAGCCAGCAGATGAAAGATTTCTCTCCCTCTCTCTCTTTCTCTCTCTCTCTCCCTCCCTCCCTTTATCTCTCTAAAATCTTCCTTTCAAATAAAAATAAGTAAATGTTTTTAAAACACTTGATAAATGAGAGGAACTTGTTAAATATCACCATATGGATGCAATCACCCAAATCCAGAGATGGTGAAATTCTGAAGGACAAATTCTAAACTTTCTTAAGCAAATATATGTCTAGTGAATGGGATGTAATGAACCTGTTAGAGATGAAAGGGTCTTCCAACTCACACAAATATATTTTGCTGAATCCTGTTTCAATTAAAACAAATGTGAAGATATAATATGGAAAATTAAGTATGTACCATATTATGATATTAAGAAATTATTGTTAACTTGGGGGTGTAATAATGATATTGTGGTTATCTTTTCTATAACCATTCTGAAGTATTTTGAGGTGAAATAATTTCTCTAAGATTTTCTGTAAGGTTGTTGAAGAAAAAAAAATGGGACATAGAGAATCTAAGTACAAATTGTTGATTACTACTTAGCCTTGGTGATAGACTTGTAAAAATTCATTATAACATATCATCTTCTGTTTTATACATTTGAATACAAAATAATAAACTTTAAAGATTCCAATGTTTCCATGCACTCAAACAGAATAGAAAACTACCAACTTTAGGACAAATATTTTGGTTGAGAACTAACTTCTGCAACTGAAAATATATCTAGTCACTGGATTATTAACTATTAAAACTCAGAAATGTTATACAAACATTCTGAACTTTAGGTTTTTTTCAGTATTTTAACGGGAATAGTTACCATATTTAATTCCATAGAGGCATTATAATGTATAGCTAAAAATTCTCAAAGGGATATTACATGTTAGCCTACATTCCATAAGTCTTTCCACCTGTTACCGAGCAACCAGCAAACCCAAAAGTTTTGACATTTATGTCAACTAGCATTCCCGTTATTTTTATTTCTAAGGTTATAAAATGTACAGATGAGAAAATTGTCTTAACTGCAATGACCTGAAAAGTACAAATTGAGAGCAAGCTGTTTTTAATGTAAATGAAAATGTTTAATTTCAAAATTAGATTACACCTATTTCCTTGTAGACAAAATTTTCCTCAATGAAGAAAGGGGCAACATAGGAACCCAATGTGCTTAAGAATTTCCAGATTTCTGAGCTATTAAGAAAAGATTACCTAGTACTCTGTCTTTTAAAACTAAAACATTTCATTTTTGTCACATGCTAAACAAAATAGAGGTTATTATAGAAAAGTGTATGCTTAAGAAAATGCCATCGAGGACCTGTGGGCATTACGTAATGCACTACATTAGCAGTTAAACAGAAATTGTTGCAGCACTTTCCTACAAGTGAAAAGTCTGCATGTAATTTGAACACAGACTTGTCACTTCACTTACTATGTCAATATTACAGTGACATGTAAGGCTAAAGTTTCCTTTGGAACTATAAAACAGAAAAGAAAGAACATGAATTCCATCTGGGTGACAACTAAAGTGAAATGTACTTTAAGAAAAATCTTACCACTCTCCTAATTTTATAAAGGTTTGTACTCAATATTTCTTGAATATTATCCAGGAGGTCCTGATTTGTAGGTGCTGGAGATTGAATTGACATAGCTGTCTCACGGCTGCGACTAGAAAAAAAAAAAAATCTGGGTTCTTAATAGGCATTCAACCCAGAAATATACAAATTCAATAAATATATTCGTGGAAACCTAAATGGCAATATATACACATATTCCAAAAATACTTTGAAAGGCTGAATAGGGAATGGCAGATTAGGAGCCCAGAGAGACTCATTGGAAAGCAGAAAGTTGAGTTTTAAGGTCAATAAGTCCAAACAGGCAGGAAACCTATTCTTTAAAAGAAAATTGCATTTATTTATATAATTCAGAAAAGCTGATTATAATGTTAAATCTTGTTAAAACGTTTTCTATTTCAAAAATGTACAAGAGAATTTATATATAAGCATAATAACAGTAGATCTGATTATTTCCACTTGAGTTAAAATGTTAGTTCAGTTATGAACATGCTGCCATCCCTCCCGTTGGTAATTTTTAGCAGGAAAATGCTCTGTTTTGGCATACTACTTAATTCAAACAGGATAGCATGGAAGTGGAAGGAGAGTCAGTTCTCAATATTTTAAAACACATTTGTATGCACAGGCCAGTAGATATCTAAACAAAAAGATTTCAGAAGACAGGCTTTTTCAGGAGTGCTTCACTGTATCCTCTTTACACAGTCAAATAAGTGTCCATAAAATGTTGATAATAAATTCCTAAAAATTGCTTTAATAAGTTATAGGAGCGATGGTTTTTAAATTTAAATAACTTACCATTTAAGGCAAATGATAAATAACATAACTATGCAGACTGATATTTTTCTTAAAAACATATCGGATAATCATAATTGAATTTATTTTCATAGTACAAGCTCATAGTACTTGTAACATAAGAAAATTTATATGAACATCGTGTAATTAATTCTTTATTCTCTATTGAAACTTGGACATACTATCAGGGAAAATACATCAAAACCTGACGATTTAGCATACTCCCATCCTAATATTAATGTCAAATTTATATTATTAAATCAAGGGGCATTTAAATAATTTTATGGTCATTTCAGACAATAATGAGACCCCAGCTGTATAATTTATATAAAATGAATTTCACATTCAGGGTCCTGAAGTAATCAGGTTTGTTGTTATGCTTTTCAAATACATCAAATTTATATTGTTCCTTTCATTGTGTTCTAATTTCGTAGCTTCCAGCTTAATAAACAAAAAATGTGAATGGTTATAACCTTCCTGAATACATCGGAAACCTAATCCACTCAAGAATTTGCAGCAGAAGGCATACAGTCATTACTGACTTATCCTTCTTTCTATATAGCTAGTCTCCTCCTCAACATGTGTAAGATCCTGCTGAGATAATTCATAGCAGAAAACATGTTAGTAGTTTGGTGTAGCTCACATTTCAAAAGGCAAGACAAAAATCCCAACAATAATATTATATTCTTCCCTAATTAGAAAACTTTTTTAAAAACATATTTTGATATTCTACTGTAGTGCATATTTTTAACTTCTTGAAATTAATTTCTTTATAACTTCAGTAACTGTGTGGTACTCCCAAAATATTCCCAACCTTATATTTGGCTTTGTTAATTTTTAGCTTCCATCTTGTTTTACTTTCAAATTTTCACAATTTCTTTTCTAAATGTTGTTGCTGTTTTTCTGGGTCTGACATTAATAAAAGCATGCTCTCAAATACATAAAGACCCAGTAGTTTCTCCATCTAGAGAAAATTATGACTAATTTGTGCATGCATATATTTTTTAAGAAATTTCACATTTGCAGAAATCTAACACATAAAATATGGATATATAAATTGTTGTTTCTACCAAAAAATGATAATTCCATAATTTCCAGTACTTATTCCACTCAGCAATGCACTCTGTATACACTTTTACACCAGTATACAAGAATGTTTCAAAAACATGGAAAATGTGTTTTATGATACATTCATATTATATTCAAACAGTATATTTTCAATGATTCTTAAGATCAAATTACTAGGTCTTTATGTAACCACATAAACTTGTGTTTTAATTTCATTCTCTGCAAATTTTTTGAAGTACCCTTGTATACTATCTACATTTGTAAAATTACTGACCTTGAGTGCTGAACAACAGGCAAATTATTAGACCTTTACTTCTGAACAGAGTGTGGAGAAATAAATTACCCATCTCTGAAATGTATTCCAGTTAAATTAAGTACAAATGATTGTCAAAGATGTTGTCCAGAACTAAAAACATTCTATAAAAATTTAAGCAAACAATGCTTTCAAATTTCATGATGCAGAAAAAAAAGCATATCCCTATTTGTGTACAGTGTATAGTAAACAATTACAATAATATGACTCTCTTTGTACTGTAACTTTCCATGTTTTCTCTTGTCTCTCTTAACAATTGCCTATAGATGTACAGCCAGAAAATCGACAACTTAACACCTTTTCTCTGTTGATTATCTCCATCAAAAACAAACTCCCTTTTAATACTCAATTATATGTTAGTCAAAAACATATCAACAGCAATTTATTTTACTTAAGTCTTCAAGTGAAGTAAAAATAAAATACATACCTTGTGGAATATAAATAATATTTTAAGACATTTAGTGCACATGATTCCTAGCAGAATTTGTTTCATTAAGATCTGTCTACTGTTCCGTGCCAAACAATGTAGTATATATTACATAAAATTTAGTATTAGTTGTTGCTGTGTTTCCAGGAAATGATGTAAATAAAGGCAAGCTGCACAATCAAAAAAGATGCTTTGAAGAACTATGTGATTCATCTGTGCTATCTCATTAAATAATTAAAAGCATACATGCATGCACACATATACATACTTACAGCAAGGATGTGCTAGATGGCGTATGTATTAACTGGCCTGCTTCTGCTAGTTCAATGGCGTGTTTTCTCTCAAGTTTTTCATAAAGAAGGACAATGCTTGATTTCGGCTGGTCATATTCTCTGAGCAAGATCTTCTGAAGGTATCTACTATTGAAATATTCTAATCTGTTCAAGGAGCAAATAACAGAGATTCCAGAAATTTATTTCCATTATTAGGACTTTTGTATTATCATCAGAAAGTTCCAAACCTGGTTCATCTACTGCCTATTTCACATATAGTTCATTTACATAGAAAATATAATGCATGGTAGAGGAAGAAATATCATCCAAGGAATTTTGATTTATTTTCAAGTACATGGTAATGAAGAAATTGAAAGCATAGTTTGATATGTCAAGAGTACACCAGATCTAAGGTAATTCTCTTAGGAAGACAAAATTAACTTTTAAAACAGAAATACTAGTTTAGAAAAGTCTACATTTCAGAGAAAGCCATGAACGAACATGACATTTAATATAGCAGCTTGATAGAGGAGTACCTATACAGAAAGAATGAGAATAAGGTGAAGAATGAAAGGGGATGACCCAAATTTGCATAACTCTGAAGGAAGGTTTAAAAGGTTGTGTAGCACTCCCCTCCAAAAAACTCATTGTGTAAAACAACACAGAACATTCTAAAACAGAAAAGCTAAGTAACTAAATTAAACTATTCATTAAAATATTTTGGGTTCTATGGAACTGTAACGTAAAATTCAAAATTTAAAAAGTCAAAACAATATTTTGCATTTTGTTTATGAGACAATGTAAGACAATAAGTATAAATATGCCCATTTATGGTCTTTAAATCCTTTTCCTCTGATCAATAATCAGCATGGAAGTAAAACATATGAAAAAGATACGATTTACATAGTCTAGGTTTATAATTAGGCCAAAATCCCTTATTGCTGCCATAGAGATTAAAATAAAATGTCTTTTTGAGAGACCACCATATGGAACTGTGTGTAATAGTCCCCAAAAGATGATAACCTGATAATTCTATGATTTATTATATAGTTATATATATTTTTTAAAGATTTATTTTATTTTTATTGCAAAGTCAGATACACAGAGAGGAGGAGAGACAAAGAGAAAGATCTTCCATCTACTGATTCACCCCCGCCAAGGGGCTGCAAAGGCTGGAGCCGAGCCAATCTGAAGCCAGGAGCCTAGAGCCTCCTCCCGGTCTCCCACACGGCTGCAGGGTCCCAAGGCCCTGGGCCATCCTCAACTGCCTTTCCCTGCCCCAAGTAGGAAGGCAGATGGGAAGCAGGGCCGCCAGGATTAGAACCAGTGCCCATATGGGATTCTGATGCATGCAAAGCAAGGACTCCAGGCACTAGGCTACCATGCCAGGACCTAGTTTTGAATTTTACATTAGTATTGCCTCTCTTGATGAAAAAAGGGGGAAAAAAGGAATGAAAGAAAAAGAAGAGAAAAGGAGAGTTGTTTTAATTGTCATCATTTTTAAAAATATGGAGAAGGTTAAAGCTCAGCTTAAATTTAAAGAAATATATAGAAAGAAAATCCTTTTTTCTATACATTACACAGTTATAATTTTGGTAAATCCTCACTTGTCTTTCCAGTAATATTGTCCCCAGTGTCCTGATATATCTTCTATGCCGGCCAACAAATGGTCAAAGAACTGAAACAGAACAAAACATGGACCTGAAAACACAGTTTATATAAGAAATAATTAATATCAAATAAATGGATCCATCAAAAATATATTTTTTCTTTACAGTATCTGAATTGCTTCTTGAATCTTTCACAGGACAAACAAATCAAATCACGTGTGAGTTTTAGCATTGAAATTGCCTATTTTAAGTTAAAAATCTTCATATCGATCCATATGATGTAATAGATTCATCCATAAAAGATCTGGAATTGTTATTGTGGAGGAAACAAAAGATATAAAAGCGTGAGACTGTGAAACACTTAGAACCAAATGGGAGAGGCAAGACTTAGACAAGGAGCTAGAGGGAATTTCAAACTTGACATGCATGTACATGTACAAATATAATAAAAAAAAGCAAAATTTAAAATATAAGTACAGAAATATGAGTTAGAGGTTGCTTGAACATAAGTACACATTTGTGAAATCAGCTCTGATGAAATAGGAATGTGCACAGAAAAAAGAAATCATTCCTTATGACACCAACAGTATAAAAAAGCATAAGGGAGAAAATAAGAAAACAAATCTTTTATTTTCTTAAAATTTATTTATTTATTTATTTATTTATTTATTTGAAAGTTACAGCCAGGGAGAGAGAGGTCCTTCATCCCATGGTTTACTCCTCTAATGGCCTCAACAACCAGAGTTGAGTCAAGCCAAACACAGAAACCAAAAGCCTCATCCAGATCTTCCCATAGTCTTGGCATTGGCCCAAACACTTGGCCATCCTTCATTGCTTTTCCCAGACCATCATCAAGGAACTATATCAAAAGTGAAGGAGCCACGACACAAACCATGGAATAGCTTTACCAGCTATGCCGCAATGCTGACCCCAAAATTTATTAACAGAAAAAAAAAACCTTCAATAGACATGTCCCAAGAATGTGGAAAAGAAACAGGACTTTCAATATATAATTAAGTTTAATTTGATATAATTATTCGTATGCAACATAAATCTATTTAAACAATTGACAAGCCCAACTTGAATGATAGTCTATAACAGTATATTCCAAAATGGAAAATTCTTGAAAGACAATGAAAAGCAGGAAAAACTACATTAAACGTAACATAAAATACAGCATTTAGAGGGAAGGTATAATGGTACAGCCTGTTAAGCTTCCCCTCTGCCACTTGTCTCCCATAGAAAAGTGCCTGGCTTGAGGATCAGCTACTCTGCACTTCTTATCCACCTTCCTATTAAGCACCTGGGAGACAGAAGATAATCGCCAAATCGCTCGCCACCCACATTAGAGACATGGATGGATTTCCTGATTCCCTGGCTTCAGCCTGAACAAATCAGGGTGTTGCAGCCATTTGCACAATAAGCCAGCAAATGGAGGTTTGGAGGATTCTCTCTCTCTCTTTCTGTCTCTGTTTCTTTCTCTCTATATCTCTCCTCCCGCACCCTCTATCTCTGCTCCTTCTGTCTCTCCCTTTCTCTCTCCCTCTCTCTGTAAATAGGACTTTGAATTAAATAAATATTTTTAAATACTAATAATGGCAGAATCTGAATGTAAGATATATGTATGTGTATATGTATATGTATATGAGACTAATTTGTACTACTTCACAATATTTGTTTTGTAAATCTAAAACTAATCTGAAATTGTTCAAGTGGTGGACATCATGGCTCTGTCTCTTCCTGTCTCTGCAACTCTGCCTTTCAAATAAATAAAATGATACTTTTTAAAAAAGTAACAATTTTTTTTTCAATATGGAAGTATGTTAACATAAATGTATCAGTTTCAGCCTTACAGATAGGATAGATTGCCTGGAATCATGTAAGAGTCTCCTTTCCTAGAAAGTAGCAATCCGCTGTGGAGTATTTAGGAATGGATGTCTGTAATTCAGTGTCAAATGATTTTAGCAAATGACAACAATACCATGTACAAATATAAACCGAGAGTGATAAATAGAAGCTGGCAACGGTGACTAACGAATTCAGGTAAAGGATAGATAGGTTTTCATTGAACTGTGATGTTGTTTGTATCATTGCACCTTCATTAAAGTATCTTTGTAACATTGATATTTTCAAAAACAAAAAGTTGGAAAAAGAAAATGCTCAAAGTTTTATTTAGTTCCATAAATTATTTAAATATATTACGTGCCATGAATATAATATATGCTGTGGTTATTAAAGTCATCCTTTCATGTGACAGGGGTAAGACAGTAAAAACCTGCATTTACTCTCAAATAATATAAAAATGTCATTCAATTCTAATAAAACAACAACAAATTTCTTTTACAGCTTGAAAAATTTCAAGCATTAGATTTTGAAGGAAAGGATGTAAAGAATTGAATTAATCATGCCTATATTTCTTAAACACATGATAATTAATAAAGTATACACACTGTACAAGAATAAAGGCAGGGTCTTTGCTGAAAATGTGTCCCTGAAAATCATGGCGTGTTCCAAACCGACACTAAAAGCAGGACTCTGATTGCATGCTCTTCTCTTTTATAAAAGCCATGGGCTCTTTTCAATAATAATATGTCTAACTGTATTTGAAATTGTGCTAAATGCCCTATATTTCATTGTTATATTCAACATTAATTCCGCATTATCATAATCAACATAACAAAATCTCTTTCATAAGAAGGTAGACGCAATAATATACAGTTTCAATTTTTTTAATGCTCTTATTTCTACTGTAGTAAAATGAGAAATTTTCATTTTCATTCTAGATACTTTTAAAATACCTTTCCAAAGAATACATTTTACAACAAAACTGTTCAATTATTTATCTTTCTCCGTCCTCAGTGGTGTGAAAACCCCACCAAAGACTAAAATATCTCAAGAAAAATTTCTCAACTTATATCTGGACTACACAGGCCACCTTATAAGCAATTGCTTTAAAATATCAAATAGAAAGTAATTTTAATGGGATGTTTTGCCACTATACTAATAATTTACATGTTATAGAAACAAAAATGCTCACAAAATTATTTAAAATAAAAGCAAATCATAGCTAAAGTATATTCAACCTGGACAGACTTTTGAAGGTCATACAAGCAATCATTTTAATCTGAGACAAGAGACACAGAGAAATTAAATCTTTGTCAATATAATTTGAAAACCTGAACAGTAACATAGCAGAACGCTACAATTCAAATAAGAAGTGCTCTTTCCCCCTCAGCAGCAGAACAGGTTTCTTGGTTCTTGAAACTACTAAAGCTGGCAACAATGAAAACAACATTTGGAAATTGGATCTCCTTTTGCATGGAAAAAAAGTCTAGACATAAAAACATGTAAGGGTTAGTTGCAGTCAACAAAATCATCTTTAGGTAGCTTACCCTAATAAGAATTTGCTCACTCACAGTTGGAGAGGTCTCTCTTCTCCTTGTAACATCTAGTAAGTCAACAAGAGGACGAATGGTCATCCCCTATAAAATGACAAATCAAAAAATTACATTCCCATTTGTACTTGAATATGTTCCTGGTACATTTGTGTTTGTGTGAGGATGTGTGTACATCTGACCATGATGAGAATGAAACTTAGAACATTAATGCAAAATTCAGAGGAATAATTACCCATGAACCTGCAAGAAATGCAATGATCTTGCCTCACGCAAAGCAATAGAGAATATACATCATATAAAATATTTTGGTTTACCTAATACACATATTTCAAAAACTTTACTATTATGTTTCAAAAATAGAAGTGGTCAAATAACAGAGCCTGTTAGATTTTCACATAGATTCTTAGTTATCTTGTAGAAAATACTTGTCTTTATGTTTTCTATTCTTTGAATCTTTCTAAAATGCTTATTTCTACAAAGAGTATACTTCTGCTTGCTTCTTATTTAACAGTTTTAGGAGAGGACTATAAAATAAACACACACTATACATTAAAAAGTGTTCATTAATTCATGCCCAAATATTCATGGAGTGTTTTTCATGAGATGAATCCTATATTAGGTCCTGGGATATAATGAAGAACTGAAATTGAATAGGTCCATGGATTCATACAATTTAGCATATTTCAGGGAGAGAGCCATTAGTCAAAGCATTGCATTGTGAATAAACAACAGCAAACAGATAAGTGTTATTAAAAATGAAGCAATTTTATGGCAAAATAATACATTTTAAATTGAAGAATAAGGCAGTGACATCTGAAATAAAACCTAAAAGATGAGTTTCATTAATCACATGAAGGGAGAAGAACTACTCCAGACTGAAACAATAGCACCAATAAAACACAATGGTAGGAAGCAGAGTAAGATGGCAGCTGAGTCATCTCAGTGATGGCAGTGATCATCTACACAGAGAGCCACTACTATGAAATGTGATTCACACACTAGGCTACCGAAGTCAGATGAGAGCTGCAGGATTTCAGTTTATTATAATAAGAAGAAAAGCTCCTTTGAAGAAAGCAAAACAAACAAACAAACAAACAAACAAACAAAAACAAACAGTTGGCAGCGTCATCCTTCCCCTAATTGACACAGTGTATCATGAAGAGAGTACTTAAACATTAATTTCAATCCTGTGTCCAACATGATAAAATTCAGTGTGGAATAGGGTGCCGTGCCCAGGAATAATAGCTGCAAATTGAATAGTTGAACTCTTTTTGTGTAAGTGTGACCTCATAAATGGTCAATTGCTTTTTTTTTTTAATTTTTCATGATACGGTTTCATAGGCATACGGATTTCCCCTTCCACCCCCCTGTCTGCCCCAATGATTTCCCCCCATATAACCCCCTTCAGCAACAGACACATGTCCATCATTCTGCTATTTAAGTGTATCAGGATATTATAGGTATAGACAATGGTAGAAAGTCCAGCTTCCCATTGTCAAACTGTATTTAACAGTTTCATTGTGAATCCTTCCTTTTGTTCAGGAGTACAGATGCATACTGCAATGTATCTTCACTTCCTAGTGTGCTGATAGCCATTATATAGTTCATCTAGATGAGTAGATGTATACAGACAGTGATTCCAAACAAAGCCTCTGGTCAGGTTTCAGTGCCACATACACATATCTATGGCCTCAGCTGATCAGTCTTAGGCTCCACCCAGCATCAAATGTGGCTAGGTGTTTCTGTCCAGAGTGAGTCCTTTCATGCATTCAAACAGAACTAGAACAAGTGAAGGCCTTGCCACACTGCATACATTCATAAGGCTTCTCTCCTGTGTGAGTCCTAAACCCTTTGAATGCAAACAGTGTTATGAAGCCTTCAGTTGTGCCCTTTCCTTCCACATCCACAAAAGGACTCACACTGGAAAGAAACCATATGAATGTCAGCTGTGTGGTAAGGCTTTCAAGTGTTCCTGATCCTGTAGAGTCCATGAAAGAACTCATGCTGGAGAGTAATTATATAAATGTAAGCAATGTGGTAACACCATCAGTTCTCCCAGTGTATTCAGAAGCCATAAACTCACACTGGAGAGCAACTTTTTGAATATAAGCAATGTGTTCAAGTCTTGCATTGGCTCACATCCTGACCAAACTTTTGTTTTATTGGATAGGAACAAAAATGAGAAAATACAGAAGTTTTCAATTTTAACAAATAACTTTTTTTAACAAATACTTCCTTTGCTGTGAAACTTCAAACTCATCGGGTAACTTCTGCTAGAGAGAGAGATACTGTGAGAAAGCCTGATACAAAGTGATTCATGTAGATTCCATAAAATGCAAAATATGAAAGTCATAAATGCAAAAAAAATGTGGCTAGGAGGAACAGTAAGAGTAAGTCCATAACAACAGCATACAGGATAGGTTTCTTCCCTACTCCCAGTTTGTGCTAGTCTCAATGGACTATAGGCTCTGTATAGCATCTGCTTCTTGATCTTAGAGGTCATAGACTAAGTAAATGGAACTAAACCTGCCTGAGGAGAAGCCTGCAGAATTGGACCATACATTTTTATGCATTTATTCAGTTCATTCTGCACAACACATCTACTGTGGATTCAGCATAAATACTGACTCAGAAAACATTGGAAGAAAACAGTAAAAACAGAAACCTTAACTTAAGGCTCCATCTAGTGTTGAAATAGCAGAGATTCCCACAGGCTCAGGAAAAAAAAAAAAAATGACAGACTGATTAGTATTTCTAGAATCACAAAGAAAGCTAAAGTGCTGTGACTCATTCTGAAATTCACAATGTGCCACACTGACAACCATCAGTAAGTCACAGGGCACCTTCACATCATCTAACAAACTAAATAAGGTTCCAGAAGCCAGTCAATTTAAATTTTCAAATATTTGCATGAAGATTTCAAAATAGGAAAAACAATGTAAGGAAACAATAAGCTTTAAGACAACAGGGAGAAAATAATTTAATACCCTAACAGATAAACTTCATAGAGATACTGAAATAATTAACAGAAATCCTCCAACTGAAAATATCTGAAGAGAAATTAAAAACATGATAGAAGACATCAATAACAGAATAGATCAAACAGAAGAAAGTATCAATAAGCTCAAAGACAGGTAATTTGAGACAACACAGTTGGAGGAGAGAACATAAAAAGAATCAAAAGTAACAAAGTTTATGGGAATTTTTGTGCGGGATGGATAGAACCAATAACCAAGCTATCGGGATTCAAGAGGGAATTGAAAATGCTAAATAAGTAGAAAATGTATGCAAGCATTTAAGACAGAAAAATTCCAAAACACAGAGGAAAAAACAAATATCCAGGTATAGATAACAAAGACAACTGATCAGGTTGAGGCATTGAAGTCTAAGCCAAGATGTGATCACGCTATCTAATGATAAAGACAGAGTTCTTACAGCTGCAAAGCAATAAAATAAAATAAACGTGAAAAGGTGCCTCAGTTTACCTGACTGCAGACTTCTCAGCCGTAATTTTACAGACCTGGAAGGATTAGCATGAGACTTTCATAGTACAAAAAGAAAAAGATCTATTAACCAAGAATCCTGAACCCAGCAAAGCTATCCCAGAGAAATGAGAAAGAGATAAAATCATTCCCAGAAAACAGTACTAAGAGAATGTGTCACTACCATGCCTATGTTGGAAAAAGAGTTATAAACTATTCAAAGCAAAGGAAATGATAATAGCTAGAAAGAAAATAGGAGAAAGTGGAAAACTCACTGGGAAGGATAAAGACATACTCAGAATGCTCTATTATTTCAATAATTGGATGCAAATTGTATTTTTGTATTAAAACTGAAACAATTAAAGATAATAATAACTACATTAAAATAATAGGAGAAAGGCAATAAAGATAAAAGTAAAATGGGACATCAAAAACTCTAAATGGGCCCGGCGCAGTAGCCCATCAGCTAAAGTCACTGCCTTGCACACACTGGGATCGCATATGGCTTTCGATTCTAATCCCTGTGACCCCGCTGCCCATCCAGCTCCCTGCTTGTGGCCTGGGAAAGCAGTCGAGGACGGCCCAAAGCCTTGGGATCCTGCACCCATGTGGGAGACCTGAAGAGGCTCCTGGCTCCTGGCTTCGGACTGGCTCAGCTCCAACCGTTGCAGTCACTTGGGGAGTGAATCATCAGACGGAAGATCTTCCTCTCTGTCTCTCCTCCTCTCTGTATATCTGACTTTCCAATAAAAATAATATCTAAATAATATTCTAAATGTTGGATGGAAGGAAATGCAATTATAGCATTCTTCATTAGTATTTCTTTTCACTTTCTCCTTTGTCTCCTTCCCTAGCTTTATAACCAATCTCAAGTTGTTAGCATTTCACAATTGCTCCTTATAACTGGAAAATTTACTTTTTTGTATAAAGTGAATAAATTTTACATATTTCATGATAGAGATTTAGAAGCATAGGGACTCCTCTCCCACCACCCTCCTTCCCTATCTCTCCTACTTTTTAAGTCTCCAGACATCCGGAAAAACAAAAATCCAATATTTAATAATGTAAAATTCAGAATAAGTTTGCCAAAACAAAGGTCAAGAGAAAATAACGTTTAGCTTATTTGTGATTTGTTATATTGCATTTTAAATGGGAGTTGTTTGAATTTGTTTAAAGCTTAAGGGCAAGACCCAGTTGCAAAGAGTGTTAATATATGTCAGAGTAAAAAACTGATGGAGACTCTAAGAGGGTAAAGGACTAGGTTACAGAATACAGCTTTGAAATAGCATATCCCATCCCTGTTGCAACAGGAACGAAAATGGAAGCAGACTGAGGCAGGCAGGGCTGGATGAGTAACTGAACCCCATGGATTAATACACACAGCTCAGTTACTCTTTCAAAAATTGCATCTTCAATGATAAGAATCTCAGGATTGTGTGTAGGGTGGGCTAATAAGAAGGTTTTCAACTATTCTGAACTCCCAAAAGAGTTTTTTTCAAAATAATTTCAAGGAAGCCACGTTTGTGTTGTCAATATGGCACTATCTCCTGTCATTTCACAGGCAAGAGTAAGAGATGCTAGATAACAAAGAAATGTCCTTCC